TGGTTGAAAGCTGGAGGTCAGGGACCCAACTTTCATCCTTGCCATAGGGGCTGGTCCTATCAGCACCTAGCATATGTGCATTGGTCCGATTTCATGAGGTTTGTATGTTCAAATAATGTTGAAAGTTATATCATTAACTAACAGAACAACACAAGCAATATTATAATAAGGAAAATTAGTAAAGAAATATAGTAATGATAGAAATGCACATACTGGGGTAAACTTTGACTTATGAAAGCATGATTTAAAAAGCAAAGTAGATTAACATGTTTTGTTAATGGCAACATAGATATGCCCATTGTAAAAACATTAATATAGAAAAGTATGAAGAAGAAGGTGAATATCTTCACAAATCCCTTCATAAAGAGATCAAAACATGCTTCCAGGTATTATCCCCTTAAGAATATATATATGTGTATGTGTTTGGTAGATGTACAATTTTATATAGATGATTTCTTCCTGTGGCATGCAATGTCTACTTTTTACTCAGCAATATGGCAGGGATATCATCCTGATTATAAATATTGAGTTATTATCATTTTTATGGATGCAAAATGTTCCTTATATAAAATATTATATTAAGAAAATTAGGTGGGTTCAAATTTCACTGCCATAACCAATGCTATGGTTAGCATGTTTGCGCATCTATTTTAATTTCCTTGGTTGATTATGTCTTTAAATTCCAAGATGTTGGCTGTTTGGGTCCAAAGTTAGAAGCACGATGTTGCAGTATAAAATTGTAAGCTACTCTGTTATAAAATTGAAACACATTATTAGCCAGCTGACTGCTGGAGGCAGTCAGTGTATAAAGATGTGAACCCTAATGGCCAGTACTGACAAAAAGATTATATTCACTTTATCACAGATACCAATATACACAAGCCTGATAGATCTGGAGTACAGAAGTCTACTTAATTACTCCCTATATCCAGTTTTTCCCCCTTTCTTACTAACCACACCCTCATTTCTTTACAGTGGCAGTATTGGGAGCCAAATGTTTTATCATTTTCTCTGATCTAGTAAAACTTAATCAGAAGCCTATTGTTAGCTTTTAGGAAAAAATTAAAATTTTTTAAATTATAAAATGGCACAGATATGGTCTTTTCCCCTTTTGTTTGGGACATGAATGTGATGGCTGGAGCTGCAGCAGCCATATGTAGCAACCCAAAGGAAAAGCCAAAGACTGACAGAGACTCACCACAGCCATGATGGAACTGCTGAACCAATGGAAGCAGTTACCTAATCTAGGCATTTTATTTCACAAGAAATGCAAATTTTATCTATTTAAGGCATTTTAATTTTGCTGTTCATACCAGCTCTTGAGTACAAACTTTACTAATACAGAAAGCTATTTTAAAAGTCCTAGAAAAAATTGATGGAGAACTAATCTAAGTAATGACAATTGGGAATAGAGAGGCCAGAACAGAGACATATATGTAGATAGCGAATACACAGGATCATGTCACTAAGCTGTGTGTTATAAGGGAGGTTGACGATTCAGGAATTATCCAGAGGATCTGGTTTAGAAAGATTTTTTTCAGGCTCACTCCTGCCAACTTGTATCTCCATTTTTTAACCAGTCCCAGCTCTTTAAAACCTCTTTACATTTTCAAATGCTTCTCTCTGTTCAGCATCTCTTCAGTCCTACTCCATCTAGTAAGCTGCTATTTACAAGGTTTGACCATTAAGTTCATAAACTTGTCCTAGAAAAAGTGCTACATACCTGATTGTTGAATATCATTTCAATCACCTTCAAAGTACTCCCCTTGGGAAGTTATGCACTGTGGCCAGCACCTAGTTCACCCTTCAAAGCAATCTTGGAACTCTTTTTCTGGAATGTCTATCAGAGCTGTCAACTTACCTACAAGGTCTAACAATTAAGTTTGCAAACTTATCCTAGAAAAAATCCTTTGAAGAGTGGACTAGGCGCTGGCATCAGTACACAGCTTCCCTAGGGGAGTAGACGAAAATGGCCATAATGATATTCAGCAATGAAGTATGTATAGGGTGACCAGATTTTAACATTTGTAAAGCGGGACAACATGGCGGGGGGTGAGGGCAGGGCCTGACAACAATGCAAACTTTGATAAGCAGTTCTCCATCATCACTTCTCAATAATTATTTGTTATTATTACAGTTTAACATTATAAAATTAACAAAAATAATATAAAACTCATATTCTGGAGAAATAGCCACATGGCAGCCAAAAACCGTATATTCCCTTCCTGTTCTCCCACCCATTCGTGCATTCTTTCCAAAAATCAGGACTTTTTTAAAATGCCGCAGGATGCGAGACAAATTGTTAAAAAGAGGGACTGTCCCGCCAAAAGCAGGATGTCTGGTCACCCTAACTATGTAGCACCTTTTCTAGGATAAGTTTGTGAACTTGTCTAACTTCATATACTTTAAATTTATTTCAAATATTACATTCTTGGCACCCTCCTTATCGCTTAAAAGTAGAATAGTCCTCTTCTATAGACAAATACTAGCCATATTTATAATGTGCCAGATATCATGTATTTTATAAATATTAAGTAACTTTTATTATTTTATCAATCTCTAAAGTAGGTACTGCTAAAAAGTCCTCATATTACTGATAAGGAGTACTCAGATAGAGAAATATTTATTTACCTTGAGTAATAATCTTCAAAATAACAGAATTCCCACTTGAATATACAAAATATGGCTTTAGAAATTTGGCTAAACTGCTTCACACAGGAGAAACAAAAGGAGAAATAAGCAATAAAATGAATGAATTTTCAGTCTCACTCCGGCCAACTTTTATCTCACTTTATTTCATCACTCCCAGATTTTTAAAACCTCTTTACATTTTCAAATGCTCCTCTCTGCCATAGGGCCATGGTTGCAATTATGCTATCCCACCTGTACTTGGTTGAATGGCAGCCTCCAGAAAGATAGGACCATACCCTAGTCCCAGTGAATGCAGCCTTATTTAAACAAAAGGGTCTTTACAGATGTAGTTATGTTAAGATCTTGAAATGATATCATACTGGATTATCAGGGTGGGCCCTAACCTAGTGAGAAAAGTACTTATAAGAGACAACACAGAGGAGAGACTGAGAGAAGAGAGAAAGACCATGTGAAGACTGAGCAGATACTGGAGTGATGCGGCCACAAGCCAAAATCACCTGGAGCCACTGGAAGCTGAAGGAGGCAAGGTAAAATCCATCCTTACCATCTGTGGAGGAAGTGGGCCCGGTTAATAACTCCTTGATTTCAGACTCCTGGCCCCCATAGAATAAGTTAATACATTTTTTGTTATAAGTCACTAGATTTGTAGTAATTGTTACAGCATCCCTAAAAAGCTACACCCATGGTCATTTAGAGCCCATGATCTAAAACCTAATTTGGAGGAGTGGTCCCACATATCTTATATGATCACTTCCTATGTCACAAAGTCTCATCAGTAAGGATGATCATTGTTAGTAGAAGCTTCAAATCTCTGCTGAAGAATTTTCTGCTAGAAGGTAATATAGTTAGAGGCTAAGAACACAGGCACTAAACTACTTGGGTTTTAAATCTTTTTCTACCATTTAAATGCTGTCAGCTGGAGGAAATTTTATAACTTCTATGGGCCTAAGAGTTTATCATACATAAAACAAAGAAAAATATAGAAATTCTTTCAAAGTTTGGCTTCAAGAAATAACCAAAATATAAAGGACATTAAAATGCCGAGTCCTAGTAAATACACAATCAATGTTAGTCAATCATTCCATGATTATGGATGAATTTTCCTCTTAACCAGTGGGAATGCAAGACAATTCTTATTACTCCCTCCTAACAAACTGTTCTAATAACACATTTCCAGGCAATTGTTTGTAATATAGGTACTTACAAAAATAATTGGATAGTGCTACTTAACATCAATATATTAATCCAACATGGCACTAGTCATATTAGAGGAGATGATACATCATGGAAAAACTTCAAGAGTAAAACATTTTTTTCATTAGATAAGTACGAAAAGATTAAATGCCAATTAGCAAGACTTCTACCAGTGGGCCAAACATTCCGACAATGTATATGTCTTTCTTAAATATTTTGGATGTATGCCTTCTAAAATTTAGATGTTTAGAAATCCATGATATTTTTAAACATGACATTGTAGCCCATGGCCTGAAGGAAACTCTTGAGGGTATATGTTAGGTTTAGCATACACTTCGGGAGTTTCATTTCTTCCCTATGTGAGAAGTACTGCCTCCAAATGGTCATTGTTGGGCAATCTCACTAAATCTAAAAACAAAACTATTATGTAACAAGTTGCAGACACTCTGCCAGGAAGATGGCTAAAATCCACAAGCCATTTACCTAGTTACACAGAAACACTCGTGTTAGGTAGAAAAATGGGCATTGATTCAGATTGGGCAAAAGGGCTTTGGTGCAGATAGAAGTATTTTCTCAAACCAAAGGTGTCTATGTTAGATTCAGAAATTAACTGCTCTGGATGTGAAAATCTGCCTGGTTGATAAAGACTCCCTGAGAAATTCACCAAACCCATCTGAGAAAGTGGAGCCCTTTATTTTTTGTTCCCTCCACCTTCCCACCCCTGCACTTGCTGAGAGCCCAGGAATAGCGCACACTCTCCGGGTGCCAAAGTTCCACAGCATTTTGGTGAGAGGGAATTTGAAACTCACAGAAAAGTAGCATCTCTGGAACGGACTCTCCCCTGTTTTCTTTCCCTGCTCCTTGATATATACTTTTTGACCTTACCTTCGTCTACAGCTGGCGATGTAAAAACAACTCTTGTCTTTCCAACTACTTTCTGCCCCGCTTTCTTCAAGGATCAATTTCCAGCCAACTCTCACTTCCAGAACGTCTTGCTTCAGACGTCATCCCTCTGGCTTCTCTCACCGTGGAATTTCCCAGCTTCCCAAACCCAATCCCGGCCGCAGAAACTTTTCCATCCCTCCCTCCAAACTCCTCCCCACAAGGTCCAAGGTCTACCCGCTCCTGTTTTCCAGGGCAGGATGTTCCCTCCAGGCTTTTTCGGCAGGTGAGGTTCCCAGACTTGCTGCTGCTATGGCAGAGACTGTGCCTGTTTCTGAGACACACCCAGATTTGCCAAGGATCTTGTCTGTTTTCTGATTCCTCTGCCAGATTCCTCACACTGATCCATAAGATTTCTGGGCGCAGGTAAGCCTTCCAAGTTTCACTGTAATTGGGCAGAGCAGATTTGTTGATACTGTTGTATATGATCACCCTGGCAAGTTATTTTCCCCTAAAAAAGGTCCTCAACTTGAAATGCTCCTTAGTCATACTGAGAAACTTAAAAAAAAAAAAAAATCCACCTTTAGAGATGTAATTGATCACTGTGGACACTGCTACTGCTTACAGTTCCTGAGGGAGGTCCAATGTGTGTAGGCTTGGAATCAATACAAAACCTTCAACTAATATACGGTTTTCTAACCAGTACAAAACCTTCAATCTATACCCACTTTTCTGATGGAGCTTTTTCTAAAGTGGTTACTGGTGTAGCATCCCACCCTTAGGAAAGCTCACCTCCTCTGTCCTCAGCCTGAGTTCACCCCCCAAAACACTAGGAACAGAATGTGCCCCAGAGCTGCCCAAGAAAGTTGCTGAGAAAGTTGGCCATGCATCTGAGCCTGGCAAACTGCCAACGAGAATTTAATAAAAAGAAACTAGAAGGGCCTAGGCTGAAAAATAATCCAGGGCAATGGCACAGTTACTTACATTTGTTGATGAAATATTAACTCTTCTGGTGACTGGCAAAATGGTACTGTTGGACAATTAAGTACGTACCTCACATGGGGCCTCTGCTCTGTTGTTTTCTTCTAGCTTTGATTATTGAAGGCTAGAGCTGGCCTTAGAAATCTACTCTGATATGACCATTTTACAGATGAGGAAACTGAGGACTAGGGAGATTGTATGTTAACAGAAGTCTCACAGCTCAGTGGAGGGGGAGGAAGGAAAGAGTCACCTTCCTGAGTCTTAGGTTCTTGTAGCCACCTGCACCTCTCACCTACTCACCACTTTGCTTTGGAAATGCCACTGATAATTGTCAGTGTGCAAGCTGGCAATTTTTAGTGTTTACCCAAGAAACACTAACACATAAAAAATAAAAAAAACAAGCACTAGAGGTAACTAATTGATGATTCATTATAAAGTTAAACAATACGGGAAACAAGAGGGGGGAGAAAATGACTTTATCTCTCTAAGCCTCTCCAGAGCGGCATGATGTGAGTTTTCCAAGACAGAGCAGATTTTGCTTAGTGTTGTATCTGGCACACGGTAGTAATTATTATTAATGGGAGGGATTTTATAAAGTCAGCACTCTGCAAGATGTGAAACCCACGGAAGTCCTCACTGCGTTTCTTTACTCAACAGAGAGAAATAGGAAGTTTTGCAAATTGTAGCTGCTGTACTGATGAGGTGTTCATTTTTTTTTCTTTTTACTTTAAATGCTTATTAGGGTTCTCCCACCTCCCCAAACAAATTTATCTCTCATTTCAACTCCAAAGTTTATTCCTTAGAAAACGGTGCCAACCAAGTTAGTGTAGTTATCTGTGAACTTTAGAAACAGTCAGATAAGGCTGGTGCCAAGGCGTTTGCTATTAACAGTGAGAGCTGTTTATGCTGAGTAAGAGCTTTAAGAGAAATAGTTCTCTGACTTTGGGTGTTTTTATGTGAAAACAAAGTGTAATGGCTTTTACCACCCTGTCAGTCTCCTTTGAACTGGAAAACTAACTCACTGCCTTTTGTGAGAATGATTTTGTTTATTAAGATACATTATTTTTAAAGCTTAGAAGAACTCGTGTGTTGTCTTTTCAAAAATGAAAACAGCTGGACATTGATTCTAGCCCATAGTATTCTGAGTATATCGCCGTTCCTGTTATTTGTCTCTGTAATTCGAGAAGTGTGAATAGTTTAACTGTGTTTTCTTTTAAAAGAGAAATTTTTAGGTCCCCTTAATAGTTGCCATAATGTGCAAAATCTAACAAAAATATTCTGTTTGTATATAAGCATTTCTTATTTTTTTATTTTTTTTTATTTTTTTTAGTTAGGACCTTCTTGGTTGTAAGTAACAAAATAAATATTAGCTAGTTTAAGCAAAAAGGAATTCAACCTAAGGACATGAGTGTACCTAGCTCTCCTGAAGGTACTAAGGTAGGGAATATAAGAGCATAAACTCTCCCTATATCTTTTTTTTTTTTTCCTTTCTACTTCATATATCTTTAAGACTTCGTCAGGTCCACCTGATAAGTGAAATTCCTCTAAATTATATCTTTAGAAATTCAGTTTTATGGATCTAGCCAACCAAAGAGAGGATGACCATTCACAATTTCATTTCCTGCTTCTAAGGAAGATTCATCTTGATCAAGTTGCTCATTCTTGGGTGACTTTCTAAGCTAAGCAGAAAGAGCTTAGGCTCGGCGCCCGTAACACAGTGGTTATAACACCAGCCACATACGCCAAGGTTGGAGGGTTGGAACCTGGCCAGGGCCAGCTAGACAACAATGACAACTGCAACAAGAAATAGCCAAGAAAAAGTTGTGGCGGGTGCCTGTAGTCTCAGCTACTTGGGAGGCTGAGGTAAGAGAATCGCTTAAGCCCAAGAGTTTGAGGTTGCTATAAACTGTGATACCATAGCACCCTACTGATGGTAACATAGTGAAATTCTGTCTCAAAAAAAGAAAAAGGAAAGATAGCTTAGCAAGTCACCCTAATAAACAGCCCGGAAAGTCCAAGACAGAGAGAGTAGGCTTGTCATTTACCAAGTACTCTTCTTAAATGATGGTCTAATGTGATCCTCCTGCAATGGCAGATGGCTCTGCACCCAATTCTCTTGTAGCACGCTTCACTTTGTAATCTGATTATCGTGTGTCTAGTTTCTTCCTTAGGCTGTGAATTTTTGTTTTGCATTTTTAGTGGTTAGCTTTGAGGAGTTCAGTAATTTTTTTTTTTTTTTTTTGCAGTTTTTGTTTTTTGGCTGGGGCTGGGTTTGAACCCGCAACCTCTGGCATACAGGGCTGGCGCCCTACTCCTTTGAGCCACAGGCGCTACCCTTCAGTAAATTTTTGTTGGAAGAAAGTGTGACTAATTCTGTGAGGTACATACTTAGATGAGAAAGCGAGGATGCACTGAGATGAAGTAGAAGCACTGAAGTCATCTGGCTGGTGAGTGTGAAGTCCGCCTTCGTGGCCTCACCCTCCTTCAAAATCCCTGCTGTCTACATCAAGGTGCCCTCACCTTCTGCCCATGGTCAGTGATTTCCACAGCAGGATTTAGGCCTGGTGATCAGAACTAAAAAAAGAACAGAATTAGGATAAAGATGCCATTCATTTTATAAAAATTTGATTTTTTTCCCTCAATGCATCAGTTAAGAATAGCTTTCAACCAGCCAACTATAGTCTCTACTTTGCTTCTAAATGTTTACAGGGAGAAAGAACATCTAGTTGATGCTGTGAATTACAAACATAGAGTTTACCTTTAATTTTTTCTGTTTTAGGTACTTTATTCCTGAAAATGATATCCCACCTGGCAATTACTCCCAGAGAGGTGACCATTTCTCTTGTAATTTTGGTGATAGTTTTTGTGTTTCTAAGAGTGCTGAGGAGCAAGGGAAGAAAGCAGGTGTCTCCTCCTGGCCCGCTGTCCTTCCCCATCATAGGAAATCTTCTCCAGCTTGGAGAGCATCCTTACCTGACATTCATGGAGATGAGGAGGCAATATGGAGACATCTTTCTCCTCAGACTTGGCACCGTGCCTGTTGTGGTGGTGAATGGAGTGGAAATGGTCAAGCAAGTGCTACTCAAGGATGGAGAATATTTTGCAGGCAGACCTAACATGCACACGTTTTCTTTCCTGGCAGAAGGAAAGAGTCTTACATTTTCAGTGAACTATGGAGAGAGCTGGAAGCTTCATAAAAAAATCGCCTCGAATGCTTTACGAACTTTTTCTAAAGCAGAAGCAAAATCCTCCACTTGCTCTTGCTTACTTGAGGAACATGTCACCGAGGAAGCTTCTGAGCTGGTGAAAGTCTTTGTAGAGTTGACTTCCAAGAATGGCAGCTTTAACCCCAGAAGTGCTATAACCTGTGCGGTGGCCAATGTTGTCTGTGCCCTTTGCTTTGGCAAGAGATATGACCACGGTGATGAGGAGTTTCTCAGGATAGTTAAAACAAATGACGACTTACTCAAGGCGTCCAGTGCCGCTAACCCTGCCGATTTCATTCCATGCTTCCGCTACCTGCCTCTGCGAATTATAAATGCTCCCCGGGAGTTTTATCAGGCCCTGAATCGGTTTATTGCCCTACAGGTACAAGATCATCTTACTACATATGATAAGGTAAGGATTTAAATTTATACCAGGACGAGGGTTTTGGCAAGAAGCAAAAAATAATGATGAGATGCGTTGAATACTCAGTTCTCATGTAAAAAACCCTAAAAAGATCTCTGAATGCTTTGATTCTCCAAAAATTTCCCCAGAACAGGAAACTTCCTCAGTGTGTGGATAGGCACACCCTTGAATGATGAGCTATAATTACTTGGTAAAAAAATGACCAATCCATATGTGAGTTACTTGAAGAAATGAACAAATTATTTTGTCTTTTCCATTATACATCTGACACTTCAAAGTCTCAGACTGAAGAGTGTCAAAAATGTCAGCATACTTTTATCAGAAAGTGTTTTGATTAATTATGAAGAATAGTCAATAGGACGTTTCCAATTTTCCCTCATTTCCTACGTTAATTCCTTTGTTATACAGAAGTGGATTTGAGATCACAACACATGCGGTACCTTTTTCCACCTTTCTTGTTCAGCCATTGAATTGTTTTGGGCTCCCTTTGATGGTCTATGAAGGGTCGTAAACTTCTCTCTTTAGATATGTATGCACTATTAAGAATCTTAGTTCATGGCGTGGGGGCATTTCCTGAGATAAGAGCAACAGGAGAAAATAAATAAATAAAACAGGAAAAGGTGGATAATTGAGCAAATGAAGAAGTGTGACGAGTTAAGTCCCTCCAGTGATGAATAAGACATAGAAGATAAGCTCTTTCATGGTACCACATGGGGACTCTGGATCAGGCACAGTAAGCATTAGAATTCGTAAGAAAACTTCAGAAGCTTTTCTTCCCACTCCCTCAAACACACCAGCCTATCTCTTTCCCCATGGTGATCATGTAAAAGTAAATTTTTTCCAAAAGCTTTGGAAAATCATGTATTCATCTGATAATCTCTTTATAATAAGTTAATCTTTAGTTCTGATGTTTTAAAATTGTGCTTACAGACATGGATACTCTTTATTTATTGAGCAAAAGAAGTTCTAAGGAAAGAATTGAGTTTGGTAACTTGGTTTTTTTATACTACACTCTTATGATTAAATTTACCGTTGTCAAGCAGAAGCAGCTGTGAGGCTTAAAGTGATCTATTTATATTCTCTATATTGTTCAATTCCTGGGGCTCGTCTCAAGTTACGCAGGGATATGGCTCTCCCTGCACAGGACTTCTAGGGATGCAGGATTTACGCAGGAATGAATAATCATGCTAAGGTTTGTTTCCTCAGGACCATATCCGAGACATTACTGATGCTCTGATTAATACGTGCCACAACAAATATGCTGCTACCAAAACTGCCACCTTAAATGACAGTGAAATCATAAGCACTGTGAGTGACCTCTTTGGAGCTGGTATGTGAGTGTGTTTGTCAACATGTAAAGCTAACAAAGCTTAGTTGGGACTTTTTTTGTTGTTTTTGTTACCCACTATTTACAGCTTAGGGTATTGTCCTCTTTCCTTATCAGCCACTTTGTGTAGTCAATCTCACACTGTACACAAATAATTTGCTATTTTGCCATCTTCCCATGACATTTGGAAAGCTTTATTTTGATCTCAGGAGCAGAGACTTAAGAGCACCCCCAATTCAGGATGCATTACCATCACCACCAACACAACGACTGGCCTGGCATGTTTATTACATTTTATCCCTACTTGCAGGCCCTTCACCCAACCCATTGCCACTATCCTTAATCTATTAAAAATGTTCTTTTTATGTATTCTTATATACTGGATTTTTGTAGTCATATAGTACCATATATTTTTGTATCAAGGGCCTAAATTTCTGTAAACATCTAAATGTAAATGATTGTGTGCAACTCCAACCTTGTACAGCAAGTTCAGATATTGAATATTGTGCTAATGCTGAGATGACCATCTTTGCACATGAGATTTGCCTCTTTTGAATTACAACCTTTTGCTAAGAAGTAGAATTTGGGGGTCAACTAATAAAAGTATTCTGGAGTTTTGATATGCATTGCTGAATTCATTTTCAGAAAGACTGGAGCAGTATATCTGCTACCATATTACTTTAATTCCTAATTTTGGGGAAGTGTTTTTTAAAATCATTTTTACCCATTAAGTTTCTTATTGGTCCAATAAGATGCTAGACTACAGGAAACAAATGATCTTATTGTTAACATAAAATAAAATAGCAAACTTTGTTTTTAGCAGTTTCATTTTAGGTAAAATGTTCTTCAGATTCATTTTTTTCTCTTTCTCCTTTACACTCTCTTTATTAGTAATTGGGTTCACGTGTTCCGAGGATCTACGTATTTGTGTTCCTAAATTTTCTTTGCAAACAGAAGCCTTCGTTTTGATTTGTATTAATTTTCCTTGTCAATGCATTCTCCCCCATGCATTTTACACGTGCTCATAAATATCCCCCCATGTATGTGAATATGAGGGTGTGTGTATAAATATATGTATGATTTTGACCATGAAATATTATTATCTCATCAGGTGATTTATCATAAAAATGTGATCTTTTTGTACTTAGCTTTTTCGTTTGCCAGCTATGTGATGTTAAGTACTAATGTTAGAATTCATGAGGACACTTTTTAAAAGCCTAAACATCACTGAACACTAAAGGTGGGTCTGTGAGGCAATGATGAAAACATCAAGTGAGCTTTATTTTCTTGTTTATTTATTTTGTAATTGACATGAAGTTGTATATATTTATTGAGTATGACATACAACACAGTGTTGTGAAATGTGTATACATCAGGGAAAGTCTATATCTAGCTAATTAACATATGCATCACCACAGATAGTCATCAATTTTGTGGTGAGAACATTTTAACATCTACTCTCTTAGCATTTTCAAAGACTGCAGTATATCATCTTTAACTATAGTTGCCATGCTATGCAATTTTTATGACCCATGAAATTATTCTTCCTGACAATACTTCACTGTCATAGGATAATATCTAAGTATATTTCAGAACTATGTAATACTACCAAGATAATTAAGTAATTAATAATTTTTTTTAAGAGACAGAGTCTCACATCATTGCCCTCAGTAGAGTGCTGTGGTGTTACAGCTCACAGCAACCTCCAACTCCTGAGCTTAGGTGATTCTCTTGCCTCAGTCTCCCGAGTAGCTGGGACTATAGGCGCCTGTCACAATGCCCGGCTATTTTTTTGTTGTTTCAGTTCAGCCAGGGCTGGGTTTGAACCTGCTATCCACAGTATACGGGGCCGGCGCCCTACTCACTAAGCCACAGGCACTGCCCAGTAACCAACACTTATAAAATTATGGCAGAAAGCATAAATGACTAAGATATAGAACAGAGCCACCAGACATGTATGACATAGTTTGAAAGGTGTATAAAACAAATTCTATTCAGTAAAATGCATTACTGTATAATGTATTTATTTACTAAGCAACATATCTGATAGAATTTGTATTTTAATCTAATGTTGGAGCTTTTTCTAAATTGGTTAGTGGTGTAGCATCCCACCCTTAGGAAAGCTCACCTCCTCTCTCCTCAGCCTGAGTTCACCCCCAAAACACTGGAACAGAATGTGCCTTCAGAGCTTTCCAAGAAAGTTAGGAGAATAACCAATTTGTGCCTTCAGAGCTTTCCAAGAAATTTAGGAGAATAACCAATTTAGAAAAAGCTCCGTCAGAAAAGTGGGTATAAAAAAACCCTAAATTTCTACATGTGCCTCCTATCACATTAACGAGCTGTAACAGAATACATTAATAAGCTATAAAACACATTTTTCTTTTCATTCACCAACAGTCAGAAGGCAAAATCCACATATTTTAGTGGATAAAATCTATAAACATTCTGTTTCATCAGTTCTACTATGCTATTATGATTTGTGTTTTTATATTTGACTTTCGTTATTGACTATAGAAACAATTTAGTTTTTCCATTGGATAGGGTCAACTTGTCTCAGAATCTTTTATGTGTAAACTCAATGCTTAAGTAACCTACCAAGATGTATAACAGCATTATTTTATATTAATACGTAAGTGTTAATATAAAAAGAAAATTTGTAATGATCAAAATATGAATCCTGATATTTTCCAGAGAGATCCAGGATGGAAGGTCCATGGCTCTGCAATGTGCAAAATCTGTATTTTGCATGCAATGTTGAGAGCCTGTTCTGTGTACTTTTGTTAGAGTATACAGTTGATAGGTTCTGCATACAAGTCCACATTTTCACATAGCATCCTACTGTAGAGCTCCAATCAGCAACTTCATCCAGATGGCTTACTTTCATGATAATTTCTTGAGGTAACAAGTCATATTAGAAATGTTGTGAGTTTAGAACAAACTGACACCACACTGGCTCACTATGAGAGATTGCCATCTTCAAAAGATGTGAAAACTGGGTGTGAGCAGAGATGTTTGGATAGGAGTTTATTCTGCAATTACACCAGGTTGTATAAGTACACGTTTTGTGATATGAGTTATTTAGATGTGAGTAAATGCAAGTAGTTAAGTTTCTCTGCTGTGGAACCATAACTCAAGTTCAGGTACTACTTTGTCCTTTATGTGATCCCGGTGAAATAGTTTAGCATTTTTATGATGCAAGTTTCTCATCTATAAAGTGAGTCTCACTGCAGCCCCCATTTCAGATGACTATGCAATTAGGTGGTAAATACATTCATCATTGCCTATGCTATCATCACATGAAAATCTGGAAATTAAAAATTTGCTTTTAAAACTAATTTTTGCTTACTAGAAAACACAGATAACATTAGTTTTGGCCATAGCCCACCATAAAAGTGAATTTATAATTAAAACAGTCTAGAAGACGGTTCTGGTGGGGCATTTCTGAGTTTTAGGTTTTCAAGAATTGATCAAATTCTTTGATGTAGGCATCTTAAAGTAGCCCTGGAGAAGAAGATCATGTGTGGCATGCCAAGTTCCTTGCTTTTATTTTCAATAATGGGAACCACTTATCCAATGATAATCTAAAAAAGGAAGATGTCCTGTTTAAGGAGTGCATTTTAAACCATAAGATGTACATCAAAACTTATAAATTAGAAAAAATGGAATCTGGTCAGCCCTCTAACATGTGCTCACACAAACTCAAGGTCAGATGTTCAAGCTTAAGTCTTGGCTCTGCCTTTTATGAAGTTCATTCATCTTGAGCAAAGCCCATAATGTTCTCGAAGACCAGTAAAAAGAGTGTATTTACAATTTATGCATTGCATATCTGTATTATGATTTATAAAATATTTGTGTATATATTGTATATACACACAGAGAGAGAGAGAGAACACCAGGAACAGAGTAAGTTCTTAGTAGCTTATTAAAATTGTTATTACAAATCATAGGTATTAGTATTATCTCATAATACTGTTATGATGAAGTGCAATGTTTACAATGTTTTCATTTGTCTTAAAAAGTGCACCTACGTATTTTTTAAATTTTACTTTCAATTGTGTTTGCAAATTTGTAACATTAAATTTACCGTTTTCAGCATGTTTAACTAGACTGTTCGGTACTGTTGAGTATATTCACCTTGTTTTGAAAACATCTCTAGATGTTTTTCATCTTGCAAAGCTAAAATGATATGTCCCTTAAACATTGATTTCCCCCATCCCTCTCAGCCTTTGGCAACCTCCTTTCTCTAATACAGCGTGTCCCAAAAGTTGCCCCAATTTTACAAAATATTCTCTATGTGTTATCCCTCTTTTTGTAAAATTGTATGATAGATATTTTGTAAATAAAGGTACATTTAGCTGTAATTTCCCATTTTCCCTATGTATGGTGACTTTAGGGACAACTTTTCGGATATCCTGTACTATCTGTTTGGGTGATTCTGACTACTTTAGAAACCGCACATGAGTGGAATCATATAGTATTTGTCCTTTAGGACTACCTTATTTCACTCAACCTAATATCCTCAAGCCTTATCCAGGTTGTATCACATAACAAGATCCATTTTTTAAAGACTGAAAAATATGCAATGATGTATATCCATAGCAATTTCTTTATCCACGTATCCATCAATGAATATTTGGGTTGCTTTCACCTCTTGGCAATCATAAATAAAGTTGCAATGACCATAAATATGCAATATCTTTTCTTTCTTTCTTTCTTTCTTTTCTTTTCTTTCTTTCTTTCTTTTTTTTTTTTTTTTTTTTTTGAGACAGAGCTTCAAGCTGTCACCCTGGGTAGAGTGCAGTAGGGTCACAGCTCACAGCAACCTCCAACTCCTGGGCTTAAGCAGTTCTCCTGCCCTCAACCTCCCAAGTAGCTGAGACCACAGGCACCTGCCACAACTCCCAGCTATTTTTTGGTTGTAGTTGTCATTGTTGTTTAGCAGGCCCAGGCTGGATTCGAACCCACCAGCTCTGGTGTATGGCTGGTGCCTTAGCCACTTGAGCTATAGGTGCCGAGCCAGCACATATCTTTTCAAGATCATGTTTTGAATCTTTTTGGAAATATACCCAGGTATAGGATTGCTGTATAATATAAACATGCTATTTTTAAGTTTTAAGGAAGTTCCAAATTGTTTTCTATAGTAGTGCCACCATTTTACATTCCCACCAACACTTCCAATTTCTCCTCAACCTCATCAACATTTCTAGTTTTTCATTCTTTGAATAGTGATATCCTAAAGAGTGAGAGGTTACAACTATATTTTGAAATCAACCCTAATAAATAATTATTATTTCAATTGTGATTCTATTAATTTTTGATTATACTACATATTTAGATGGCTTTTCCCTAAATCTTAGCACTCAGATATGAAATAAATTGAGCAGACCAATATTGCTAATACATTTTTCCTATGACATTTGGTCTCTTGTTTCTTTTCAGGGTTTGAAACGGTATCAACATGTCTGTATTGGAGCTTTCTTTATTTGATACGCTACCCAGATATTCAAGCCAAGATTCAGGAAGAAATTGGTAACATACTTTCAAATGAAAACTGTAATTTGTATAACTATCATTATTCTCATTAATTAAAAAATACTTTTCCTTAAGGTAGAAACATTGGGCTGAAATCCCCCAGATTTGAAGACAGGAAAATTTTACCATACACAGAAGCTTTCATAAATGAAATATTCAGACATACTTCCTTCCTTCCTTTTACTATTCCACACTGGTAAGCATATGATTCTCCTTCAAAAAAACAACCAATGAGGGTTTGGGGGCAGTGAAGAATCTTAGACATTGGAATACTTAAAGTGCTTTAAAATCTATTATACACTATTATTTTAATATTTTTTATTTTGAAACCATCTAATCAATTTTTGTGTATAGAGAAAGCATACTTTGTGAGTCCTTTTCATTGCTAAACTATGATCCCATTGACTTTCACCTTGTATGTACTAATCAAAAGAGTGGAGGCTATGGACATTCCAAACAAATAGATAACTCAACTGTAGTGTAATTTTGCTGTGACATGTTTTTTTATTCCTTTATTAAATCACTACTGTGTACATTAATGCATTTATGGGGTGCAATGTGCTGATTTGCTAGCCAATGTGAAATTCTTACATCTAACTGATTAACATAACCATCTTCTTGCTTAGTTATTTGTTGTGGTAAGACATTAATACTCTATTCTTAATAGTTCTGAAATGTACTTTTGCATTATGCACCTTAGGTGAGGTCCCACCAAATACCCTCCCTCCTTCCCCCCACCCTCCACCCCTGCTCTCTCCCTCCTCTTCCCTTCATGTTTCTGGACTATAGTTATGTTTTACCATTTCTATGAATGTGTAGATGATTATATATTGATTTCATAGTAGTATTGAGTACATTTGGATACTTTTTTCCCTATTCTCGAGATGCTTTACCAAGAAGAATATGTTCCAACTCCATCCAAGTAAACAAAAAGATGAGAAGTCTCCTTTTTATGGCTGCCTAGTATTCCATAGTATACATATACCACAACTTGTTAATCCATTCATGGGTCAATGATCACTTGGGCTGCTTCCATGACTTGGCAACTATGAATTAGGCTGCAATAAACATTCTGGTGTGAATGTCTTTGTTGCAGAATGATTTTTGATCACATGGGTGATCCTAATAGAGGAATTGTAGGATTGAATGGTAGGTCTACTTTCAGTTACTTGAGTATTCTCCAAACTTCTTTTCAAAAAGACCATATGAGCTTGCATTCCCACCAGCAGTGTAGAAGTGTTCCCTTCTCTCTGCATTCATGCCAACATCTGTAGTTCTGAGATTTTGTGATGTGGGCTAATCTTACAGGAGTTAACATGTTGTAAAAGCTCACTTAGCATCATCTGATGAGCAGCTTAGCTTCCTGATGTTGTGGCTTCATTTTCAGTAAGCCTAGAATTTTGCTGGGAAATAAACTAAGGAAGATAGTGTTGTTACACATAGATGAAAGAGAGCACTCATTAAAGACATTTGAAAATTTACTGAAGTTTATGTCATAATCTCCAGCACACCAGTGCATGCCAGCAGAGATTAAGAAGTAGGCTTTATTAAATATGCATAAGGAGAACAAAAGTTCTGGTGCTTTGATCTGTTTTTATTTACAACAATTAAAACCTTTAAAAAAAATAGATTCTCAAGTGTTTTTTTCTCTCTCCTCCCTTTAAATGGTCAAGGAGTGGAAATGCCTCTTGCCCCCAACCTTGGAGAAATTGATGTCATTACCTAGTAATGAACACAATAGCATGCAGTGCCCTCATCTGAAGTGTCCCCCAAACCAGGTCACTGACTGAGCAGAGAAAGGCTGGACAGCCAGTGACGCAGTTCCCTTTATTTTCTTCCCTTTAGCTAGTTTTCTTTTAACACAGGATGCCTGTCTTTTCATTGTGATCCCCTTTTTCTCCCTGTTGTGTCAGATCTTCCTTCAGTTAAAGCAAATTTCATCTTCAACTTAAGTTTTTTTAAAGAAATCCTACATTTAAAGAAGCAACTCTTCTGTCCCAATGATTTTTATAAGGTAACTTTAGGTACTTCATAAAAGACTATTTTCTACACCTCTGTCAAGTACTCAGACACACTGGAGCTCTGCCAAGTTTATGGTCCTCATTTGGAATAAAAGCACATATGGAAATTATGGCCCTGGATACTCATCTGAGGGTCTAATTGATAGTGAGAAATATATATTCTATTAGGACAGAGATATTTGTTATGTTATTAAAAGTAAAGAAATAAATTAATATGTCAATAGCAGCGTAATATAAGTCAAGAAATTTTTTGCACACAAAAAAGCTTTTCTACTATACCTACAAGTTTATTATTCACCATTTTAAAAAAATAGATAAAAATGAACAAAATGTGTTAAAATAAAATAAATGAAATAATCTTAGATAAAAGCAGCAAAAGTTTGATATTTCATGTAACATATATATACACACACAGAGGAAAGCCCAGATTGTACCCTAATAAATTTTATTGCATATATGTTGCTTAATAATTGTGTAGAAATCCACTTTTCTACACAAAGTTTTAGGAACATGTAAATAGGTAAAGAATCCTTACTATTTATGCTTTTATTTCAATACTTGGGAAGTAAAGTTATCCATTTGATGCTTCTATGAAATAACAGCATGTAACTTCCTATGTGAGTAGAATCTGAACAGCTGAATGTACAGAAGAGTATGGACAGGAATGTGTTGAGAAAGGCAAGTGGCTATGCATGAGAGGATGTAATCCTTCCAGAAAATAGGCCTGTTGCTTGTGTGGCCTTCCCCCATGTTGGGTTTTGAGAATGCTTGATGATTAAATCCATATTATTTGCCAAAGGTCAGTACCTCTGGGTACTTTTGAAGACACCATGAATAAAATCCATACTATTTGCCAAAGGTACAATGGATATCACTTGCCAAAATGGACGTAGATCAGATAGAGATTGGAATATTCATCCAAATGGACATCTACAAAATGGATGTAGATCAGATAGAAAACCACATCAGATTGTATTTTAAAAAAAAAACCAACACATTGTACCCCACATATGCATAAATGTATTCATAATCTATGTGTATTTGACTTAATTTTTTAAAATTTCAATTAAAAAAAGAGATTTGGAATATTCATTTTTTAAATGATCAAAGCTAGTTTACATGATATGGTTTAGATCTAGATTGAGTTGACTTTCTAATAATTCTCACTTGAATTAACCATACTTCTCCACCTAGTTTCGGGATAGATTGGACATCTTCAGTCTCTCCTCGAAGGATAAAATCTGCTCCTGACTGCAGATGGGATATATCTTTATTATAGACTGGCTAATGTGAAGAGAGCACCCAGAAGTAGCTAAGAAAAATGTGTCCAGGGCCTTGTCTCAAACTTCTCAAATGGAAATGCTGTGCTTCTCCCATTATAGAGAAGTGCGCGTGTGAGGGCAATCTAGTGAGAAAGGGAGTGTTACATGGAAACATAACGTGATTTTTTCTCACCCATGCATAATTAGAGAGATATAAAGGGGAAAGAAGAACAGTTTTCAGAAAGGAGTTTGAATATGAGACCAGAAAAATGAAACATTAGCTCTAGAACTAAGTTAGAGATCACCCAACATAACCAACACCATCATTTCACAGCAAGAAAACAGTCATAGAGGAGATGTAAGATTTGCCTAACGTCTCACTGAAAACAACATTCAGAGTTCAGATTTCCTTGTTTCAATTCCATTTTCTTTGTACCAATTACTAAAAGACATGACATTTGTTTTCCTAATCTATTGAAAATAGACATATCCCCATAGGCGATGTAGAAAGTACTTCAGAATTCCCTGAATAGTTTTCCAATGTAATCTGCTCCGCCTATTCACTTTGTCCTAAAAATATTGAGATAATTTTCTAGTAAACATTTTATTTCATAGAAAGGCCTTGAATGTATTAAACGTACAATCTTTTTAACACATACTAAAAAAAAATGTTAAATTATTAATTTGACAAGAAGTGAAAACTGTTCTAATTATTGAAAGAATAAGGATTTACAATGATATATTATAGTAAAAAGGACCTAAATAAATGTCGTGTGTGAAGTGTGGGGGCAGTTTGGGGATGGGTTATTTGAACTCACCAATGTCCTGTAATGCTATATTTTATCTGTATTTTGCTCTCCCAGCACCACAGCAGACACCACTCTGAATGGCTATTTCATTCCCAAGAAAATTTGTGTCTTTATTAACATGTACCAAGTAAACCATGATGAGTAAGTCACTAAAATTCATCCTGAGATAAAATTTGCTTGCTTGGTTGTTTATTTATTAATCTGGAAAAGATTTATATTCTTTTTAACCAAACTCAGTCCTCTTTCTCTTGGAAAAAAGTTAGAAAGAAATGCCATTTTCATTCCTTGTCTATATTGAGAAAGGCAATATCTTAATACAAATTCAGAAAAAAATCCAATTCAAAGCAAATCCAATGTCATAAGTGGCTCATTAGGGGAGATGTGTGTCAAAACCTATGGGCCTATCCTTTGCATGGCTAGGAGTGGTTGATATTTGAAATGTAGTCTGGAAGTCCCCAGTGAAATGTAAGCCACCAAGCAAGGATTTATTATTGTTTTTTTTAATTCTTTATTCAATCATAACTTTGTACATTGATGCATTTATGGGGTTCAGGGTACTGCTTTGATATACAATGTGAAATGCTTACATTGAACTAAGTAACACATCCATCACAATTATACTCGTTCTTAATAGTTTTGAAATGCACCATTGCATCATGCACATTAGGTGAGGTCCCCCCAAATGCCCTCCCTCCTCCCATATCCCCCTTCCCCTCCCCTCTCTCTCCTCTTGTTGTTCTTCTTTCTTTTGTCTATTTGTTTTTTTCCTCTACCCCAGCACCTAAATCATTGCTTGGCACATAGTTTGGCCCTCAATAAATATTTGTTGCATAAAATGAAGTTATAAGCTCACCCATATCAGCTATAAGAGGAAGTGCTGAGATGAAGGTACCTTATGCAATGAAAGTGAAGATATTGCCAGTGGTGATGGTGAAGGGAAAGCCATCTGGGTCCAACACCTGCTGATTGTACTGACTAAAACTAAGCATTTTTAAAGCCACTATCGAAAGAAATACAATCAGTGTAAATTCAATGGTAATTATTCTCATTTAATATAGTGCTAAGTATTCTAGTCTCCTCAGAGCTTGTGATCATATGGAATATTGAGTAATGTTCTAACAAAGTTAACACAGGTGCTGCTAAACAAATACTATTGCTATGGAGACACTTGTTTCAGCTAAATGAGTAAGTAACTCAAGACTTTATATTATGGGGAATTATTCATGGTTAATCTAAAGCAGAGGTCACAAACTCAAGCACCTACTAAGTGAAGGAGAATACTAAAAAGGAGTGAGTCGCACTTTGTGACGCATTTACGAGGGGGTCATACACTACATCTAACTCAGCCCCATGAACTGCTGGCAATCAGGACATTGTTGCCAACATTGTTGGCCCTTACAGTTATAAAGTGGAACTTGGAAATTCAGATTTTCACATAACATCTGATTGTGAAGGTTAGCAACAATGACTGATATTTAAAAGATTATAGGAGCCAAGCAAAATGCATTGGAGGACATAGTTCTTGAGGTCTGTGACTTCTGGTGGAGACAAAAACCAGTTTCACCTTTATAAAGAGGGTGATGTCTACATATAAAGTGACCCAGTTATTCGTGATGGTATGTGAACCGCATGTGTGGTTTAGGGTGTGTAAGGAAACATGCTAGCATTAGTGGTCACAGACAAAACAAATACAGTGGCTGTCACAAAAGATGGAGATGGACGAGAGCAGCAGATGCTCAGTGATTCGGGAACTATGGACGGCCCCTCCATCTGAGCAGCTCTTCGGAGACCTGGCTCCTCCCGGGGATGTTGTACACAGACCATCTCTTGTACATGTTTGTACCAGAGTGAGAGATGGGGCTCAGTCTCATCATTCTCAGTTTATTTTGCTTTAAAGAAAAACACGTCAAATATTTATTAATTTTTATTTATCTCACAGCTTCAGAATATTCTTATGAGAATGTTGTGAAGCTCTTCATTTAAAATAATTAAAAATAGAAATAAATTTGCAAGTGTTTTATTCACTATTTAATGAATCCCAACCCGTTTTAGTGAAAATTAAGTATAATTATATTAGATTGTTATGATAGGTAAGTTTGCCAGATATTAAAAGGAAAGTGGCGTGTATATATCCATAATAATTGTATATAAAAAATCATATGTCACCATAATTATATACACATACTTTACATATACCTACCATATATATATATATATATATATATATAAAAGCCTTTATAGGGTGGCACCTATGGCTCAGGGGGTAGAGGGCCGGCCCCATATACGAGGGTGGTAGGTTTAAACCTAGCCCCGGCCAAACTGCAACAAAAAAATAGCCAGGTGTTGTGGCAGTCACCTGTAGTCTCAAGTACTTGGGAGGCTGAAACAAGAGAATCACCTAAGCCCAGGAGTTGGAGGTTACTGTGAGCTGTGTGACACCACAGCACTCTACCGAGGGCAGTAAAGTAAGACCCTGTCTCTACAAAAAAAAAAGCCTTTATAAAGGCTATTTCAAACTTAAAATATTTTAAATTTTGTTGAAAATTATTAAATTATTGTCAAAAAGTTGGCAACAAGAGCAAAAATGATAAAATTATTTTTTTTTAAATGTTACTTTTGTTTATTTTATGCAGAACAATTTGGGATACTCCGAACTTATTCAGACCTGAGAGATTTCTAAACAAAAAGAGAGAACTGAATAAAACTCTTGTTGAGAAAGTTATGATATTTGGAATGGGAATCCGGAAGTGTCTGGGAGAAGATGTCGCACGAAACGAGACATTCATTTTCATCACCACTGTCCTGCAACAGCTCAAGCTGAGAAAGTGCCCCGGAGCCGAGCTTGACCTGACACCTATGTATGGGTTAACTATGAAGCCAAAACCATACCAACTCCAGGCAGAACTTCACTCCACAGGGAGTCTGTCTACTTAGATAACAGTGAGAGGGGGGTTTCTTATTTCATTCAAACTCAGTTCCAGTACGACACTGTCTCATGAGAATATCTTATGATGATAATTAAGTGTGATGTAAATTGGGGTTAAATCCTAATCTCTCAATAGATCACAGTATCAGAATCGTAAGAGTTGAGTGTTTGTAATCTATTTTCACCAGTGTACATATGGTGAGTTTTGAAACTCTTTATTCAGACTATGTGTGAAATTCATTCATTTTAATAAATAAAGCTGAATGGTTTTTAGTGTATTAAAAAGAAACTCAAGAAGGGGTGTCTAGGTGTCAATGTGGGTGTGAGTGGAAAAGCCAGATGAGAGGTGGATGGAGTGAGCCAGAAAGGGGGGTCTGCCTTCCCCTTATACCAGCTTCAAATAGGTGGATGTATCCATTTTTTTGTTTTAAATATAGAGCTCAGCATAAGAATGAGGTTCTGATGTCAAATATATTATTTTCAACCATCTAGAGGGCCAGAGAAGGGGTTCGGATTGCCTAGAGCAGCAGAGAGCATTGCATGGTGGCAATGGATGTGCTGAGCTAAATTAAGAGGAAAAGAGGCCAGGAGGGGACATTTCTTCAAAGTCCCTTTGTGTATACACTCTGAAATTTTCTGTAGATATAATTTACAAGTTATAAATTTACAAATTAGCATGTTTACAATATTGCCAATTTCCTTTGATACTTACTAAATACATGTGTATTAGTTTTTAGGACTGCCGTAGTAACAAAGTACCAGAGGCTAGGTGGCTTAAACAACAGAAATTTATTTTCTTGCAGTTCTGGAGGCTGGAATTCCAAGATCGGGTGCTAGTAAGCTGGATTTCTCCTGAAGCGTCTGTGCTTGGCTTGCAGGTGGCCCTTTCTCTGTTCACACACATCCCTGTCTCTCCCATTTCTTATCAGGACACCAGTGATGTTGCATTAGGGTCCCAGCCTGAGGACTTCATGTGAACTTAATCATCTCTTAAAAGAAATGTCTCCAAATAAATCACATTCTGAAATACTGGCAGCTGGGTTGTCAACATATAAATTTGAGAGGAAGGAAGAAAAAATTCAGTCCATAGAACATGTTCTGAGGAAGAAAAAATAGGTTCTGATTATTTAAAAGTATTTTTAAATGTAGTACCCAGCACTAAGTATGTGCTGCTTTAATTGAATTTGTGAATGACCTAAGGCACATAAATGAACTTAGAAAAGACAGTGAAAACACTAGTTTATCAATTTAGAGCCCAGATACCACAATTGCTCCAGAGGTAAACTAGAACAGAGAGGTCCTACTCAACAGTGAAAAGAAATACACACCAGTTATCAATTCTTTCAATAGATGCGAATGGGTTGACCTCCCCTCTCAGAAGACATAGGCTGGCTGAATGGATAAAAAACACAAGTTGGGTATCTGCTGTCTCAAGGAAATTTACCAACCCATAAAGATTCCTTCAGATTCAAGGTGAAGGAATGGAAAACAATATTCCATCCAAATGCAAGCCACAAATTAAAAAAAAAAAAAAAAGACTGGAGTAGCCATTCTCACAGCAAATAATTACAGACTTCAAAACAGCAAAAGTAAGTAAAGAAAAAGATAGCCATTGTATAATGATAAAGGGAACAGTTCATCAAGATGACATAATAATTCTAAACATTTATGCACCTAACACCAGGGCACCTAGATTTATAAACCCTACTAAATCTAAACAAATCTTAATTTATTCTGATTTGTCATTATCCTGTTCTACTAAAATTAAATAAACATTCATCTTGATTTGTTCTCGTTCCCTCAAGCTATTGCTATTTCCTTTCATGACCAAAGATAAAGTTTATAACCATTTTTGAGTATACTCTATATGTCAAGCAACACAGAAAATGTTTCTAAATTATTAATTTTGATACAAGTTATGGAATAGATATTAATAGTAACTTTTGCAGAAAAATAGACTCAAAAAGATTAAGTAATATTCAAGATCACACTTCTGATAAAGGTTTAACACAGAATTAAAATTTTGTCAAATTCGATTCTTACGTAGTTTCCGTAACAGCAATGGTTTCAAGAGTATACGCTTTAATTCAAAAGAAAATTTGGCACATCTTTTTAGATATATTTCTACATACTTTTCTAGTTGACATAAAATTAAAGAGCCTAGAATTGACATATGTACCAAAGTTATGTCATTCAGTCAATTTCAGGTAGATTACAACCTTAAGAAGATAAGGAAAATTTTAAATGTTTAGAAGAGTGCATATTTAAAGGAGTAAAGAATAATTCCTTAAGATACAGAAAATACAACCCATAATAAAATGATAAGTTGCTACATTGAAATTTTAAATTTCTGCACAAGAAAAGGCATAACAAACAAAAGCGGAAACAAGCCACAGAGTGAGAAAAGATACTTGCAACTCTCGGAACGCAAGAGTACCATCCAGAATTAAAAATGATTTATTCAAATTAATAAGACAGGATAAATTTCCAAGCACTCTTCTTGCAATAAATGGAAAAAAATTATGAATAGGCCAAGATATGAAGGGCCAACACAAATGAAAAGGTACCCAGCTCAGGAATAATCGCACACATACTAAAACGACATAAAATACCATTTATACTTGGCACGGTGGCAACAATATACAGGTAGGACAATACAAAAAGTGATGAGGATTGAGGAAAAAGAGAACTTGCATTCACTTTTGCTGGGGGTGTAAATGGTACAACCAATACGAAGAGCAATTTGGAAGTTTTTAATAAACTTGAAGATGCCCTTGCTCGTGATGCAGCAATTCCATTAGAGAAAGTCTCACACACATGCGAAAGAAGGCAGGCATCACCCATTAAAGCTTTTTTTTTTCTTGTAATAATGGAACACTGAGAACAACCTGAGGCTCATAAATTAGGTACTAGATACCCATAATTATGTTATATTGTCATATAATACACAGTAGAATGCCGTTGTGGAAACAGTTACTAGGGTTACATGATCAACATAGATGCATCTCTAAAACACTCAGTTAGAAAAATAGTAAATTGGGGCGGTGCCTATGGCTCAAAGGAGTGGGGTGCTGGCCCCATGTACCTGAGGTGGTGGGTTCAAACCTAGCCCCAGCCAAAAACTGCAAAAAAAAAAAAAAGAAAGAAAGAAAAATAGTAAATTGTAGAAGTACACAAGACATAAATATTTTTAATACCTGAACAATTATGTTGTAAATCGTGCTCAGATATATACAAGTATTTATACTGTAAGGATTCAAAAAGGGGAAAATATCCTTGGGGTTCAATAGTATAATATTTTATTTCACAGAACCTGCTGAGTTGAAGGGTGTTTATGTCATTCACTCTAGTTTTCTGTACGTTTGAAATATTTCAAACTAAGATGGAAAATTAAAGTGTGATATGTGCATGCGAATAATGTTTCTGTTTATTTGTTTTGCAGATAATACATTTATTGGCAAGAAGGGAAGCTGTATTCAAAGTAGCAAGTGTGAAAGAGCGCATATACATAGATTGATTTTGCTGAAAAGAAGGGGTAAAACGTGATAATGTATTGGAAATAGAATGCTGGCAAACTGAATGTTTTCTATTCCCGTTTAAACTTACGCTCTAAATATAATATTGTGTTTTGAGTTTATAAATTCCCTTCACATCTGTGACTGCACATAAGGGGTGAAGAAAAGTTTAAGGATGGCAAGTAACTGTCATAAAATGTATACATTTGGCCCAGAGAAAAGATGAATCCTCAGACTCTCAGACTAAACAACTGAATTGTGTGAGTTTAAACTCCAGGTTATAGAAGTTTTGCATTAATTAAAACAAAATCTGGCAACGGAAAATAAAGCAAGACCATAAAAAAGGGGGGGGATATAAAATCTTAGCTATGTGGGATTATTCATTGATCAGTAGAGAAACTCTGTATCACTACAAAACACTTTATCTAGTGTCAGTAAGTATTTTTAGGCACTTTAGGTGCAAAAGATGCCTAAAGCATGATGCTTAATTTCAGACGCTCTATACAAGCAAATAGGCTGGGCGCAGTGGTTCACACCTATAATCCGAGCACTCTGCAAGGCCCACAGGGGAGGAGTGCTTGAGCTTAGAGTTCAGAATCTCTAGCCTGAACAAGAGTGAGACCCCATCTCTAAAAAATAACGAGGCATTGTGGTGGGCACCTGTGGTCCCAGCTACTTGAGAGGCTGAGGCAAGATCACTTGAGGAGAATCACTTGAGCCCAAGAGTTTGGTTGCTGTGAGATATGATGCCTCGGCACTCTACCAAGGGTGACAAAGTGAAACTGTCTCAAAAAATAGAAAAAAGATACAGGCAAATAATGATAATCCATCTATACACACATATACCATGTACATGTGTATGAATATGCATATATATACACACATATACAACATGTATGCATATGGGTATGAAATATTTTAAGTGTTCTTTCTAAGACTGGTCATAAAAATTCAAGTTCCTCCTATCCTCTTCACACATGTGAGAAGGATATGCATAGAAAATTCCTTCGCAATGTTTTCTTTTTGTTAAAAAAAGAACTTGACAAGCTGAATGCCCTGTGTTGGTCGACCATTTTTATTTAATTTTACCAATTTACCTCTTTACACAGCTGGACATTCTTCTAAAGAGTCTTCGTTCTTTGATTTCACTGTGCCAACTTAGCCACAGCACTAACTTAGTTTTAGCCTAAGCCTTCTATGATAGTATATTAGCAATCTACTTCACCATTAGTGGCCATTGTGGTGTATAGAATCATATGATAGGGAAAGGCTTTACAAAATTAAAATTGCTATGGGCAATGAAGTGATTTGCAAGATGACATCTCTTGATTTAACAATATTCTTACTTTACATATTTCAGAGCTTGAAAAATGGAGTCAAATGTATGAAAACTGTTCTCTGGATCAGGGGGAATATAAGGCTTTAGTTTTGAGATAAGAATCATAGATGTTGTTTTCCCAGGCCCAGGCCATTGGACGAGATAGATACAAATCCCATTATCTCATAAATGGAAAGTTGCTTTTTCGGTTGAAATTTTCAATAAATGATTCCCATCACTTAAAGAAAGTCAACTTACCTCTCCTCCCCCATTGCACCCTGCTGTTTTACAAACTCACCTTTGTTGGGAATCTTTTTATCAAAA